GGTATTTCAGAATTAACTTATCTCATGGAGCTATTTAATTGTAAATCCAATCTATTTAAAATAAGTAGTTCATTAACATATGCTTGTGCTCAAAGACATACAACCACATGGGCTTATCAGATCTTCTAAACTAAAAAAAATTGGACAAAAATAAATTTATCTAGAAAATTTAAAAATACTATGTTGTTCTTTAATATAATGAATGATTATGTATTAATGTATCAAGTAATGTGTCATGCTAATAGAACAGCTCTGCAAATCACTACAGGTAACACTGTAGCATTTTATTCCATATTTTGGAGTGCATTTTTCCAAAATGACTCAGCATGACTATCTATTACCACTTCTTTAAAGAAGGAAAAAAACCTCAGAATTTTAAAAATATTTGTTCAATGACACTATTTAATAAGGATGTAGGTTTTTAAATAGTGCCTTAATGTTCTAAACTGAAAATGCCTATATAGTTGAACAGTACATATGGAATATGTGATGCATCAATGTGTAGGGATGACTTAACAGATGAGTTTGAAGAGCCTCACTGAAGAGACTCTTCAATGATATTCCAAAAGTACAGTATAATCGACTCTATTGTTATTGGTAATTCTGCATTCTCATACATAAATCATTTACTTTCTTGTATCCAATAGCATACATTTTAAACCAAAACTAATTAACGTAATCAAAAGGCAAATGTATTGGACAAATAGGCTGAGAAGTAATAAATGCTTGTCATATCCATTTATAAATCTACTTGTAAAAGTTTTGTGACTTCCAATGGAAATATCTTCTGCATAAATGTGCTCTATGCTGTATGCTTGAAGCAAAAGTCTTCTGCCTTATTACAATATCATTATTAGGATCTCATATAACTTCCATTCAAATCTATTGCATTAAAATGACAAAGTTGTGTTCAACTTTGCTAAAGAAGATATCACATTTAAGAAAAGAACGTTCCTTCCTTCCTTCGATTAAAGCATGACAAACAGAGAATAGGATATTTTGAATTCATATCAGGATGGCAGCTTAAAATGTACAAAATTCATAGATGAGTTGAAGCAGAAACAGATGAAAGAACTAGCTTAAAAATGACATGTCTTTTTAAAAACTGGGATGATATAAATGAGGCTATTCCTTGCATTATCTCCAAAGAATATTAAACATTTTTGGACATGTTAACATAACTATTTGTTAATGAGGTAAGAATAAAGTGACTGATTCACATTAAAGTAGCTTCAAAAACTATAAAAAAAAAAGTCATCTGAAATTAATGTATTGAGCCAGAGCAGAATTATGTTCCCCTTGATTTTCTAGGTCTAGAAACACTGGGTCCTGAAGCATGACCAATGTGGTTCTAGCATCTCCTGTTCTTTGCTATGTCACCTCATGAAGCATTAACTCAGATCTTCCATGTACTTTAAAATGCAATTTGAAGACTAGAGAAGAAGTTAATTTCTCTATACACAAATTAACAAGTTCTGTTAAGCATAAAATAGCAATAAGTATTAAATGTGGTAGCAATCTAATATCTAGTATCTCACAAGTTAATGAAAATATTAATTTGTATTGGTAGCAAATTACAATGTACTCTAGACATCCATGCATTCATTTAAAGTTTAGGTAAGGGAAGTACCAAAGTTATTGTATTGAATAGATGCATCATTAAATACTTTATCAAGAATGTCCAAATACCTCATGTGAATCCTTCAGAGATTTATCAGTGAATATCATTATTAGAAATAATGGACATTTTGACATTTAATATATTGTTTCACTAACCTTAAGAGGCAAAGTTAAAATGATAAGAATGTTGAAATAACTAAATGGAACTTCATTATAAGTCCTCTATTTAAGCCAAATAGAGAAGGTGATTTACAAAATGATAGATACAGTTTGTGCATCACAGAATGAATTCCCTTTTGTATGATAACACCACTTAAGGGAAGTTTTGCTTTTCTTGATTCTTTTCTCTAAAACAGACATTCTGGCATTTAGGAGATAAAAACGTATGATTTGACCTTTAAACTTCTGTTTCATTAACGTAACCACAAGCAACAGAGTCACTGACTGACACGTTTGCACTTTCAGGCCTTTAGCACTTAGTTATTTGATAACTTTTATGCCGCTATTTGCTTTTTATTAGAGATACTTTGAGGAATGCGTTACATTAAAAATAGAGTATACTGTGTAAAGCTTAATAAATGAACTCATGTAATTCAGAAAAGTGTTCTCTTGAGTACTAGATTTCTGTACTTTGACGTGAGGGTGTGTATGTATTAGGGAAGATTTTGTTTTGTTTGTTTTGTTTTCTAATTAATTAGATAATTAGATCAAATACAATTCCAAGTATCCAAAGTGAAAACATAAACTATAACTCTGTTTCATTACTTTTGATGAAAAGTATGTCACCTGACTTAACACTCAATTAGTCCTTAAGCTCTTCTGTACTGGTCTATGAAGAGAGCAAATACCAGTTGCAGATGAGTCAAGAAAAATAACTGACACAATTTAACATTTGTTTTAAGAGAAAGAGGATTTCTTATAAATATACACATTATGAGTGTTTAAAACCTGTGGGTAATGTAAAAAAGATAAAAAATAGGATACTCCCTAGAGAATTCTAGAATTACTGTAAGCAAATTATTCTGAGTAAAAAATAATGCAGATTGGATTTGCTTCATATGACAAAAAAAAAAAAAGATTCTGTTTATTTTAAAAAACATTGTAATTGGTTAGAAACATTATTCAGAAGAGACAGAGGTTGTATTCTCTTTTAAAAGTTTAAAAGTCAAAAGTTCCCTAAACTAAGATATGACAAAACTCAGGATATAGCATATAAATGGATGAGGTACAGTGCACACAAGTAAATGAGGACTGCACCAAAACAACAAACCAGGAAGGATATTGGTGTCACTAGTTAGAGAAGCTTCACTATTGGAAGCAATGACTGAACTAAACATAGGTCTCCTAGAGGCAGAACATGGGTTCAGTTATTTTAATAGAAACAAAACACCTAAGATATACCATTAAAAGACAAGCAGTCTATCAAATCCTTTAGATTGAAAGTGTTAATGCTCATTACAAATAGGCAATATACTGCTACAAACATATAGATCACAGTTCCAATGATAAGTGTTTGCAACCTCTAAAGATAGCACTTCATCCTTACTGTTGTTTAAACTTCCAAAACAAACTTAATATAAAGAACATAAACAAGGATTTAATTTATATTCCGTGTGTGACCAAAAGTTCATCTCTTTTACCAACAATGAAAGGTATTTTACTAAGTTATAACAAATCATTTGTTACTTTTGTATACATCCAGTGGCATTTTGCATTTACAGTAGAGATAGCATATATTATAAAAGCACGTTATTAATGTATATTAGAAACTACAATAGTATTCCAGATGAATTTGGACTCATAAGCATGTTTTAGAAGGTGTAAATCATTTACCACACCCAGATCCCATATCATTAAATTTAAAATATATTGCATGACTCAAATAAAACATAGCCCACTCTGTTTCACCTTAGACATGCCACATATACTGACTTTGTGCAATCTGCACTTACAAGCCAACTACCACCCAGTGGAGAGAAAGAAGATCTTTCAGGGAGATTTGAGATATATGTCAGGTGGAAGTGTCATGGGGTGAAGGGAGGGCAATGGGAAATGAAGGAATAAGGGCATTTAGCCTTGTTTAGATCTAAGCACCGCTGATTATCAATTTATATTTTCACAGGAGAAAAAATGTTTCTAGAAGCTTATCTGCAGTGTTGTTTAAAGATAAAATTAGTCTATGGATGTTCATTAATGACAAAACATTTCGATGCTCAAGCTTGGGGAAAAGAAGGGAAGAAGGGAGAGTGAGCAAAAGCAAAACTTAAAATGGGAAAAGGGAGGAAAAGGGAAAGATGAGGGGATAGAGAGAGGAAAGAGAGAGACTGTGTGTACACATGTGTGAGTAACAATGTGTGGAACAGTGAAGTAGCGTGTGCCTTTTAGACAGTAGAAGAGAATCTGAATGTGAAAGTGGTTGTTAGGGAGAGTATGGAAGTGCCAGCATGTGTGAGAATGTGAAACAGAGTATGTGAGGGAGTGTGGTTAAGAAAGAGATTTGTGAGGGTGAGAAAATGGTACTGGAAGGGGTTAGAGGGAACATACGTGTGTCTGACAGGGATGGGAACCGATATGGGGAAAGAGATGGGACATGTGAGTCAAAAAGAGAAAGAGAGAGAGACAGAGGGAGACAGAGAGAGAGAGAGAGAGAGAGAGAGAGATCACAAAACAGGGATATTAATGAAGAAGAAAAATGGGGAATGGAGAAAGGTAAAGAGTGGAGAAAAGTGGGTTAAATAAGAGGTGAGAAATTAGAGTGGTGGAGATAAAAAAGAAAATATGAGGAGAAAAAAGGGAGGAAAAATAGAAAAGGAATGAAAAGAGGCAAAGGAAGAAGGGGGGAGATGGAAAAAAGAAAAGAGAACGAAGGGAGAAAAAGAAAAGGGAGAAAGCGGTAAGAGGAAAGAAAGAAAACTGAAAAGGGAAATATTGAGCCTAAGTGTCCAAGTGAGAGGGAAAATACATGGGAGCAGGGAGCCAGCCATCAGTTTGAAAAAGTCGCTTAGGCTGCAGTAAAATAGAAACAACCTGATAAACTTGTCAGACTCTCCAAGAATACCCCATGACAATAAAACAGAGACCTTGTGAATTTAGTTTCCAAGTGGCACCTGCCCCTCTTAAACCTCACACTTCACTCATCCCCGGGCTACCTGTCGTTCCGGCAAAGTGCTTTAGCATCACCAGTCCGGCTTGCTACCTGCCCCGGGGTTAAGGGGCCATGGCTCCACGCAGAATCAGCAACTGAATTTCCTGAAATGTAGTCTTTTGGTAGTGATCACCACCAGCATCATTACTTGGTTTAAAAAGAAGGCAAGAAAGGTGGAAAGAGAGACAGAAAGACAGACTGAGACAAGTACGAAAAAGCACGACGTTCTTCCTACCTAAGCACCGCCGTGTCCCCTTTTCTGACCATCATGTTGTCCACAGCAGCCCAGGGGAAGTCCACACTCTGTCCAGCCGGGAGGCAGGAGGGTAGCAGGCAGCACAGGCTGAGGAGCACCGCCGCCAGCCACTGGTTCGAGCAACAAGCACCCTGCACCAACAGCATCATGTCCATCCCTGCTAGGGCTGCTCACTCTCCAGCAGCTTTCAGCTCGCACTCCCCCACCCCCTGGTGCTGGCTAGTCTTCCCGGGAACCAGGCAGCGCGCCACAGGATTTTTTTTTTCTTTCTATTTTTTTTTTTTTTTTTAATTTGGTGGATGGGTGGGTTTCTTTTCTTTCTTCCCCCCCACCCCCCTCTAGTTGTTGGGTGTTGTTTCTCTCTTTTTTGCCTCCCCTCCTCCTCGTCTTTGCTTTCCCTCCCTCCCTCCCCTCCCACCCCCTAGCACTACACTACACCTCCTCTCGGTTGCTTTTGGCCGAGTCCGGAGAGTGGCTAATTCTCGGGCGGCTCGCGCACTATCTAGCGAGAAGGCGAGCGCGCCGGCGAGTGAGGGAGGAGGAGCGGCGGCGGCGGAGGCTGGGCGAGCGGCGGCGGCAGCGGCGGCGGCTGTAATCGCGGCTGCACCCTCAGCAGAAGCAGCGCGGGGCGCAGCGGCGGCCGGCGGCCCCAGGCTCTCGCGCGTTGCCAAGCGGCCGTTTCCTTAGCAACCCCGCCCGGGGACTGGGGATGCAGCAGGGAGGGGGGAAACGAATTGGGGCGGGGGGGTGGCAGGAAGAAAAGAAAGAAAACGAAAAAAAAAAATCAGTAAGAGGTATATCACAATTATGCAAACTGAGAGGAAAAAAGCGACGCAACGGAGACAGAACGCTTCCCTTCCTGTCATACGCAGTAGAGTGATGCTTTGCTAGAAAAGTCTCCTGGTCGGGGCTGAGGTGAACAGAGCAGAGGGGCGCTTTGCTTTCCCGCTTCGGTGCGTTTTACCTCTTGAGGCACCGTAACTTTTAAGTCCTCCAAGTTGTGGTCGGCGCCATCATGACGCCAGGGACTGTGAGGTGGTGTTGTTTCTTTTCTTTCCAATCTCGCCGGGGCGGCCGCGCTACAGTTGACAAGCGGCCAACTAGTTCACTCTTTACCTCTTTTCGGATATAGGTAGGGACGGTGACGGGGGGGAGGGGCTGCATTTTGAGGGGACAAGATGGGGGTGCTTGCAAGGCCTGGCGGTAGAGCAGCTGGCGCGTCTAATGGGTCAGTCGCTAAGGATTGGACGGCGGTCCCCCTACACCCCGCACCTCGTGCATGTTGACACTAAATTGTGTGTGTGTGTGTGAGAAAGGTATAATCAAAGTGGAGAGCGCATGGACGTGTGTGTGTGAGTGTGTAGTAAGCGCGCGCCCGTGTATGCGCGCGAGTCGAGCTCGCGGGGCCTGTACGCGCGCGGCACGCAGGCGCGCAGGGAGGGGCAGGGAGGGTCGTGAAGGGATGGAGTCGGGAAGAGACTGCAATCAAGCGTTTTAATTGTGTGCAGCCAGGCAGTCCTGTTATGTAAGAGGCAGTTTAACCCGTTTGAGCCTATCAGGCGGAATGATAAGCGCGTTCGAATCTAGGCAGGGCAAAGTTACCGGGTTTAACGAGTCACAGGTTTATATTTTTTAACAGCCTCCAAACCCGTTTGGATAGGCTTCCTACTCCGCGGCGCAGAGCGGCTACCCTCTCTTCTTACGCCGCCGCATCCACGTAGCAGCTCGCCCCTACGCTGCGAGCCGCTGTCCTGGCCCAAGGCAGAGTGAGGTGCTGGGCATGGGGCCGCCGCCTACCCTTTTTTACTTCTTCCCTTCTTGAACTCCTTTCCAGATTCAGGATCCTTTAGCTATTCCAGTCCATTCGCAGATCAATGCGAGAACCGAGACTAGAGTCGATAGCAGTTACGCCGATCAATCTTGCTCAGTGAGGAGTTTGGGAAGCAGAGCGGGGAGGTGAAGGAGAGAAACAAGTAATTAAAAAATATGCTCACCCCTCCCCTTCCTCCAACCCTATCCCCCTTAAGCAGTCTTGGAAGATTTTCTTCGGCTGACCCCAGTCCTTCATCCCTTGGAGGAAATAAATACAGCAAAACCTCGCACATCCCTAACTCGTTTTCCATAATGCTAGCAGGGTCCTTTGGCAAAGCGCAGAAGCAATAATCTCTGCAGGGGTCAGCATCCGGCTGCCTCCCCAGACTGAGCTCTTTACGAGGCAGGCAGGGAGTCGTTTTGCTTGGCGGTAGCGGTGCTCAGAGTGATTTTTATCGCAGTGCTTGAGGATATATGGGGAAGGGAAAGGTTCCCATCACCTGTGACCACCCAGACTGACTGATCGAAGAGCCCCTAACCAGCATCACCTCCCTGCTGAAGTGACAAGTGACACTCCAAGGCCCGAGCCGTTTGCAGCAGGAGTTGCTGATGTTACTAGTATTCAAGCTTAACTCTCAAATCCGGCTCGGAAATTGAGAGTGCAACAGTATTCAACCGCGTTTTGAAACATCAATAAAATGTTAGTCATTTGCGGATGAATGAAAACATTTTCTTTACCGTCTGGTATGCTAGGGAAATAATTGTCAAATGACAGACTCTTGCTAATACTGAAGCCAGATACCTAGGTAACACTGTTGTCTTGTTAACTGCGTTTTTCTCTCTTGCGTGGTACACTAATGGATAAAGCTTAAAATTATCTAGGGCAAACGGGGGATTAGAAGAATCGACATGTCGTATATACATAGGCAAAACTTCGCAGTATTATTTAGTATTTTCACTAGAAATTATCTAGATTCCATTAAAGAGAAGAAGGCACAGCTTCCAGCATTGTGACTCAGTTTAGTGCTATTTTATGCAGGGATGGGGTGGCAGCGTTTTCTAGTACAAGCTGTGAAAAGCATCCTTTTGTAACCGCTGTTTCTCAGAGATCTGACATCTTCAGTGAGGAGGGGGGGAAGGAGGGGGGAATCTGTGACCAGGGATGGAGCTACGCAGCAGTTTTAATATGTACAACAACCCTTCAGGCTTGTGAAAGGAAACTGGGACCACTTCTCTTTAAAGGCAAAGAGTTTATTTTCTTTATTTCTAGTTTTTATCTCAACTTCCATTCACTGATCACAAAACACTTAAATCTCACAAAACCCATCCAGAGGAAGCAATAATTGAACCTAGTTTATAGATGCATGGACAATTGGAAAGCTTATTTACATGTGCATCACTATTATTTAAAGTGAGTGCAAGAATGCTGAGTGGGGTAGCCTTATTACTGCATGTACTTTCACTGTCCTTCTGACTGGGAAGGGAAATGATTTTCAAAGCTTTTATTACTTTCTTTTCTCCTCAACCTTTCTATGGGCATATATCTGAGAGGATTTTACAGGGTTTCTAGTATTTGCTTTTGAGGTCCTAGATTTCTTTCAAGCAGAGACTTAAATCCTATAAGTCTTGGCTCCTGAGAGGAAACCAGAACAAAAACAAAGAACAATGAAATGAAAGAAAGAACACCTCCCAGCTCAGATAGCACATTGTTCCTTAGTAGAATTTTTGTTTGTTTGTTTGTTTTTTAATAAGTATTGAGAATAGGTAGCAGTATTGTTGGAACATTTTAGATAATGAGGGTTGGAGTGGGTATAGTACGATAATCCCTTGGTCAGAGTTTTTAGGAATTGACATTGGAATGAATTACTACTACTACTACTTCCTCTTGAATCATGTGCTCTTACTTTGTTTTCAAAGCTCAACTTCAAATATTTGAAGAAATGTGGTGACCAATATTGAAGGAGAAAGGTGGAGCCTGACTTTAATAATTGATTATGCCTTTAACTAGACTGGTTTACACCCCCTGTTTTTCATGTCCTCTGACCTCAGGGGGGTTGGAAGGGTAATGTTGTAAGGAAGATTCTTATGCTTCTTTTGTTTAATAAACTTGATTTTTAATTGACAGTGTAAATGAGATTATTTTGGAAAAGAATTGAATATAAATTCAGGTTTATTTTCTGATAACAAGTAAACCCAGATACATCTTTCATTCTATTACTGTGTAGGCATGAGAAATTTTAGGCAAGACAGGTCCCAGGACCTAATCAGAGCTAATGAGAGTACTTTGTAATCCCTGAAAGAGTCCGTCAGGAAGCCCTTTTAAACAGGACATATGAATAATAGCTCTTAAACTTGGGCCATAATTGAGTCTCTATTTGAATTAAGCTGGTTTAAGCTTGGAGAACCTTGCCAACTTAAACTGGCCTATAGTGGTGATTTGCAGGTCGTTATGAGAACTACAAAGCTTAGGATATTTGTTGGGGCCGGGGGCGGGGCGGGGGAGAATATTTCTTTATAGAAAGGTTTCTCAACCTAGGAACTTTTTTATGGAATTATAGTTGATTTACATTATTGTATTAAATATCAGGTATGCAACAAAGTGATTCAGATATATTATATATATATATATATATATATATATATATATATATATATTCAACCACTTAGAACACATTCCACAGGCAGAGTGTGGGCCATCTCAGAAGTCAGGAGGCCCCAGGGTATGGGGTGGTTGGTTTTTATGGGCTGGGTAATTTCTTTTTTTTTTTTACTTCCTAAATTTTATTTATTTATTTATTATACAGCAGGTTCTTATTAGTTGTCTGTTTTATACATATTAGTGTATACATGTCAATCCCAATCTCCCAGTTCATCCCACCACCACCACCCCACACACACACTTTCCTCCCTTGGTGTCCATACATTTGTTCTCTACATCTGTGTCTCTATTTTTGCCTTGCAAACCGGTTCACATGTACCATTTTTCTAGATTCCACATATACGCATTAATATATGATATTTGTTTTTCTCTTTCTGACTTACTTCACTCTGTATGACAGTCCCTAGGTCCATCCACATCTCTACAAATGACCCAATTTCGTTCATTTTTATGGCTGAGTAATATTCCATTGTATATATGTACCACATCTTCTTTACCCATTCATCTGTTGATGGGTATTTAGGTTGCTTCCATGACCTGGCTATTGTAAATAGTGCTGCAGTGAACATTGGGATGCCTGTGTCTTTTTGAATTATGGTTTTCTCAGGGTATATGCCCAGTAGTGGGATTGCTGGGTCATATGGTAGTTCTATTTTTAGTTGTTTTTGTTTGTTTGTTTGCGGTACGCGGCCTCT